GTGTGTGTGTGTGTGTGTGTGTGTGTGTGTGTGTGTGTGTGTGTGGAGTTCTTTGGATCCTGCTTTGGGAGCACCAACTTTGTCACCTGCCCTCAGGGCACCTCTCACTGTTACCAGGGTGACATTGTGCTTCAGGGAGGTGAGTGCTGAAGGTTGGGCTGTCGAGGTGACAGAAGCAGGGCCATGGCTCCAGCAGTTGAGGATGGAGGGTTGTACCCTAACTCCTAGGTCTGAGGAAGAAGAGATGAGGCTACCTCAGATGGAAGAGGGCTGGGCCTGGTCCCCTGGGTCTGAAGGAGAAGGACTAGGGCCTGGACCCCTGGGTCTGAGAGAGGAGGGCAGGGCCCTGGACTCATGAGGCTGAGGGTTGGGCCTTTAACCCTGTCAGGAAGTAGAGCTGGGACCTGGAGTCAAGGATGGAGGAAGGAAGGTGGGTTAGAGTCAGGGTTTGGGGGAGAAGGATGGGACTGGGATTCCTGGGTCTGAGTTTCCCAGCACTACTAGACTGTAGCTCTCCTAACTGCTCTTCACCCTCCAGGTGGGGTGTCTTCCACAGTGAGCCTTCAGGGATGCATGTCCTCACCTGCCAAAACCTTACTGGGTGGCTCCAAAAGCATTGGTGTCTTCTCAGTAAAGGAACTCTCTGAGGGCACAAAGGATCTACCCGAGGACGAAAATGACAAAAACCCTCTGGGTGGAGGTGCTTCAGCCTCTTCCCTCACTTGGCTGTTAGGGCTGGGGATCGTCTTAGCCCTTTGTCTGTCGAGCTTTGTCCTCTCTGCTGAACCCATTCCCCTGTGATTTTTAATCCCTGTTGGCCCCCATACCCAGCTGTCCTCTGACATCATAGCCTAAGACCTTTGTATATGAGAGTCACTGAATTCACGATGCACCACAGCTGACATCCATGTGTTGGCCACACATGTGAAATAATAAAGTCACTGTTGTTTCTGCATATACTGGATTTCTCTACATGACGAGATGATGGCACTCAATAGGATTCTTTGAGAGACCTGCTGTCAAGGCCCGGCCTCCCTGTGTCTGCCCCATGTCTTCTCAGCCTGTGGAAGCATAGAGCCTCAGGGTGCTGCAGCCTAAAGCCCTGGCCTCCCTGTGACCTGGGAGGGGCAGGAGCATAGCAAAGGACTTCCACCTCAACTGAGTAGCTGGGCAAGAGGCTATAAGTGACACAAAAGTGGGAGTTACTGACACAGGAGGAAAGACAAGTTGAGAATAAGGCTTGATACGGTTTCTTAGGGCCATTACACGAGGTGAGTGTTGCCATTGTAGGCTTCAAAGGGCAAGGGATCAGAGAACACACATACCACACACACATTCACCAAACACACACCATACACACATACACAAACACACCATACACACACACCATACACACACCATACACACATACACAAACACACCATACACACATACACAAACACACCATACACACACACACCACACACATACCATACACACATACACACCACATGCATACCATACACACACACCAAACACACACCATACACAGACATATCATATACACGAACACACCATACACACATGCCACATCCATACAACATATACACACATATACCACATCCATACAACATACACACCACATATACCATATATACATACCACACACACCACCCAGACCACATACACCATACACACCACATATACCATATATACATACCACACACACACACACACACACACACACACACACATCAGTCAGTGAGTCAGACAAAGACAGGCATCATAGACATTTTTATGCCAGGCTGAAACTCACATTGCCCATGGTGGCTCTGTGAGAGAGGAGTGGAGAGTCTTTATTCCAGTATCAGGGTCCTCTTGGAACCCACAGGGACCCTGTGTGTGCTGAGTAAAGCAGTTCCCACAGATCTGACCTCCACGCCACTGGGGAGTGGAAAGCAGAGTGAATCTAGGGACACAGGAGCAGCCTCCCAGTCTGTCTGACAATAGGCAGCTTAGGGGATGGAAGGTTCATCATGCCTCCTGGTTTGCTGGAGGAAGGCATGGCAGCCGGTAGCTCCACGGCAGAGAGCATGCAGCTAGCACTCCTCACATGTGGAAGGCCGAGGGGGAGGGACTGCAGGCACGCCCCTTGTCACCTGGACCCTGTCCAAATTGTGGACAAGCAGGACACTGGAGAGTTGATTGCTCCACTTTGTCTAGATAAGGTAGGCACAGAAAAGTCTGTCAGATCTCCTGGGCCTGGTGGCTGCAGACTGACACTACCTGTGACCTCTGCCCCCAAAGACTACAGAGGAATCTAGGGTGATTGTCCAGGGAGCCGGCAACTTCCTATCATTTTTAGTAGATTTGGAAGCTGCTTGGTCTGTACTTCCTGTTTACTCAGGTAAATTCATCCTTCTCATATCTCTGATGGTTCTGACAACTAGGCTAGTGATAGCTTTGTCAGTTTAAGAGCAGCAACCAAGGCTTCAGCTACCTTCTGGCTTCTCTTCATTATGTAAAAATCAGGCCTCACTGTCCTAGAGATAGTACTAGGTCCAGACACTGCTTACATTGTTACCAGACTCTGAAGGGAGATAAAATCACAAAACATGTGTGAAAGACAATTTTTACCATGTTGAAAGCAACTCACTTCACAATGCCTGCTGGTATACGATTGGATTTATAAAAAGTGATTTCAGTTATCTAAAACAAGAAAGATGCTTTGAGTTTTTCTCCTTCACTATGCTATTGCTGTACTAAGACTTCAAAAGTTGAGAGTTTTAACACCAAATGGAGTTCTGATAAACTATTAACCTAGCTCTGGCGACATTGACTTCTGCTATCATAGTCATAAGCTCGAGATTTTAAATTCCTTTGGTTGACATCTATAGACTCAAAAGTGCTTCTCATTGTACTAAAAACATCCATTTAATCTCTATACACCCCGTTTTCTGGATGGAGGAAGGAGTGTCATGCTTCTAACCAAAGTCATTTTGGGTCCCAAGCTTCTACTCTGACTCAAAGGCGCAAGTCTACTGCCTTTTCTACACTGTGGATTTCAGTACAGATTGCAAACCATGGCAATGCTAACATGTGTGGCCATAAGGGACAAGGAGGAGCCAGCAGGAGCTCCACCTGAGGACACAGAAGCTGAGGCATTCAGCAGGCAGCTCCTAGGAGAGGCAAGGCAACTGGCAACATAAAGACCTAGGAGGGCACAAGGAGAGACAAAACAGGTGGCTGTGAGGGGAAGGGGACAAGGAAAGGGTCACAGACCCAGGAGCCCGTAGAGAAGCTGTGGGATTTGTAGGCAGCTCCTAGGAGCAAGGTGAGGAAGTTCCAGGAAGGAGCTGAGAGGAGCCGTGCGGGGGCTGAAGGGGTAAGTGCTGTGGGAACAAGAATTTCAATCCAGGGTGTCCCCAAGGGCACTTGGAGACTTGTCAGAGAGAAATGTCCCAAATCACAGGGGAGAGGCTCCCTTTCTAGGTAATGAGGGCCTGGGTAGGGTGAGATGAAGCTTCCTGACACACGGGTGTAGATTTTGCAGTGAAAGTAGACAAGGCAGGGAGCTCCATAGTAACACTTACCCAGCAGAAGGGGAGTGACAGGTGGTTATAGCAGGTAGTGGAGAAAACAGCTGGAGAGGTGCAGGAGTCTTAGTAAGGAGAATTGCACATGTGGTGGGCACTCCAAAAGGGTGTAGCAGGGAGAGAGGACAGTTGCTGAGTGGGCAGGGAGAGACAGTGGATGGAAGACGTGGCTGAAGAGGCAGAATCTAGAATCAAATTTGGTGGGTTGCAAAAGCTGGCAGAATGATCTGTTCAGATGTTAGGAGGGTCAGATGAGCAGTTTGGTTCAGGGCAACTGTGTTCCTGGGAGAGGGAACTCATTTATGCCACTCCCAGGTTTTGGCACCACATGAATGAAAAAACAAAAAGAAAGAAAGAAAAAGAAAGGACATATCTGCTCCTAGGTATGAAGAAGGAGAAAACTTATTGTAGATAAAAGGGAGAGTGTAGTCAGAGGCAGGGACGTCTGGGCGAGGCCAGCGTGGACCAGCGTGGACACGACCAGACTGAGCTGGGCCCTGTGGGAAAAGGGAAGAGAGGGGAACCAGGTGCAGCATCCAGGAAGCCAAAGGTACAAAAGAGGCAGGTGGAGCAGCAGCAGAGAGAGGCACAGGCTTCAGGCCCAGAGCAGCATTAGAGGGAGGCCTGAGCCTCAGGCTGAGGAGCGGCCACCAAGTGAGAGATCACTGGCTCAGGTATGACAAATGGAGAACCTGCATAAGACCAAACTAGACTCCCTTGGTGTAGGTGACAATGGTGCAGCTAGGGCAATATAGGAGGCCACTGGCATTGGGTCCAAGATCTAAGTCTAATGCACAAACTGACTTAGTGGAGCTCATCCTATATGGAGAGATACCTTGCTCAGCCTAGACACAATTCTGTGGGGGATGAATACATGCCTTGGTCCTGCCCCATAGAGATGATGGGACTTCCTAGGGAGCCTAAGGGAGGTGGTGGGGCGGGAGAGGGCATTAGGGGGAGTGAGAAGAGAAAAGGGAGGGGGAACTGGGATTGGAATGTAAAAAATAAATTAATAATAATAAAAAAGAGGCGGGTGACCAAAATGTCTGCACTATACAGGGAAGAGCCTCTGGGGGAAGAACAACCCAGCCCCTGGGCTGGAGAGTTCGGAGTACAGTGTATGCCAGCATAACAGGGATGCTGGGAGAACCTGGCAGCCAGGTCTGTTTGATATGTTAGACAGCCAAGCCAGTCATTTGTCCTGGGTTTGAAACTTAACAGTCCAAACTACTGCTAGAGGAAGAGCCTTTTTATCCTTGAATGTGGGATCAATACAACCAGTTACCTTTCTTCTTGATATAATTTCATTATAAATGTGCTTGAGTCTTAATATTGTCTGTGTTTAGGACTCTAAAGACAGAAGCTTAGGGAAGTTTGTTACCTTTATTGATAGGCAAAATCCGAGCACAGTAGCCACAAGTCAGAAAGAAGAGTCTGGGTGGCATAGCAGCTGTCCTGCTGTTGGCACTGGGGGCACAACTATCTGCCACCAATGCCACTTGTTCCCAGCTGGAGCTGGGGAAGGTCACCAAGCCCCCCTTTCTCCACTGCTTGCTGCAAGCCCCTCCACAGTCTAAGAGAACATGAGTACAGCTTTATATTCCGGTCTTCAGACCAGGTTCTCTCTCTCTCTCTCTCTCTCTCTCTCTCTCTAATAATAATAATAATAATAATAATAATAATAATAATCTGCCCTCAGGCTCTTTCTAGTCTTAGATGTTAAAACACAAATGCAATGCCTGATCCAAGACTTGTTTCTAGGCCATTACATTCCTTATGTCCTTTAAACCAAGACACATAGAAATAAGCTTTGGAGGAGAGTTTATGTTCGTTTACATGTTGCAGTCAATGTTCACTTATAAAGTCAATGGACAGTTTTGATCAGTGAGTATAAAGCAGGCAGTTTTCTAGAGACTGTGTTATAGAAGAACATAAGAAAAAACATGTAGTTTCCCAAATAAATGTTCTATGTGAGGAAACATACATAAAAGAGATTTAAAAATGGGTAAATTAAAGATGAGGAGAGCCAGCAGAAGCCTATGGGATAGAAGTCTATAAGACATCATCAGGAGACAGATTTTATTCTATTTTATTTTAAAAACATATTATTTTACATAACAATCCAAGTTCCCTTTCCCTCCCATTCCCCCACCACCTTATTCCCACTCCATTCCCCATCCACTCCTCAGAGAGGGTAAGGCCTACCATGGGGAAATCAACAAAGTTTTGTCACATAAATTGAGGAAAGACCAAGTTCCTTCCCCTGTATCAAAGCAATTCCACTAATCAGGAACAAGACAAGGCTGTGCACCCTCTCCATATCTGCTCAATATAGTACTTGAAGTTCTAGTTAGGGAAATAAGACAACAAAGGGAGACCA